GATGCATAAGGCGAGGTATTTCTAGTAGGGACAGGGAGGTGCTGCTTCCGTTATACAAGGCGCTGGTGAGACCTCACTTGGAGTACTGTGTGCAGTTCTGGTCTCCTATGTTTAAAAGGGATGAACTGAAACTGGAACGGGTACAGAGAAGGGCAACTAGGATGATTCGAGGAATGGAAAACCTTTCCTATGAAAGGAGACTCGAGGAGCTTGGTTTGTTTAGCCTAACCAAAAGAAGGCTGAGGGGGGATATGATTGCTCTCTTTAAATATATCAAAGGGATAAATACCAGGGAGGGGGAGGAATTATTTCAGCTCAGTGCTAATGTGGACACGAGAACGAATGGATATAAACTGGCCGTGGGGAAATTTAGGCTTGAAATTAGACGAAGGTTTCTAACCGTCAGAGGGGTGAAATTTTGGAACAGCCTTCCGAGGGAAACGGTGGGGGCGAAAGACCTCTCTGGCTTCAAGATTAGGCTAGATAAGTTTATGGAGGGAATGGTTTGATGGGATTACGTGATTCTAATCAATTAGGCAATAACGGCCATCGCTGGTCAAATGAGGGTCTGGCTAGAGAATCTTGCCTGTATGCTCGGGGTTCTGCTGATCGCCATATTTGGGGTCGGGAAGGAATTTTCCTCCAGGGTAGATTGGCAGTGGCCCTGGAGGTTTTTCGCCTTCCTCCGCAGCATAGGGCAGGGGTCGCAAGCTGGAAGATTCTCTGCGTCTTGAAGTCTTTAGATCACGATCTGGAGACTTCAACAGCAGAGCTAAGGGAAAGTGGGGGGGTCAGCTTTTGTGGCCTGCATCATGCAGGGGGTCAGACTAGATGATCATATTGGTCCCTTCTGACCTTAAAGTCTATGAGTCTATGAGTCTATGAGGTCTGTAGTTCCCCGGGTTCTCCTTCTTCCCTTTTTTAAAGATGGGCACTATATTTGCCTTTTTCCAATCGTCCAGGACCTCCCCCAATCACCATGAGTTTTCAAAGATAATGGCCAATGGCTCTTCAATCACATCAGCCAATTCCCTCAGCACCCTCGGATGCATTAGATCTCGACCCATGGACTTGTGCATGTCCAGCTTTTCTAAATAGTCCTTAACCTGTTCTTTCACCACTGAGGACTGCTCACCTCCTCCCCATACTGTGTTGCCCAGGACAACAGTGTGGGAGCTGACCTTGTCTGTGAAGATCAAGGCAAAAAAAGCATTAAGTACTTCAGCTGTTTCCACATCATCTGTCACTAGGTTGCCTCCCCCATTCATTAAGGTCCCACACTTTCTTTGACCTTTTTCTTGTTGCTAACATACCTATAGAAACCCTTCTTGTTAGATGCTCAGTATTTTTTAATATTAGGCTACTGGCTCATGTTAACAGTATCTGTTAAAAAAAATCTTAGGGCTAAATGAAGGCCTGGTGTAAGTGGGTGCAAATCCATTGAAAGATAATGGTGTTACACCTGCTTACAGCAAGGCTGACATTGGCTCTTGGTAATGATTTCCCCATGAAGTGGATACTATTACATGTAGGCCTTATTCATTCCAAAGTCTCTTTGTTCCTAGATTCAAGTTTCTTTCGCACCTTGATGGTCACAGAGGGTGAAATTCCACCCTGCTCGGAGGTCTTGAACCAGGACTATATGACATTTGCATCCCATTTATTTCATCATAGGGTTTAAGTAGAGATGGTTAAAAAATTTCCACTGAAACGTGAGGTTTTTTTATAGAATGTGACTTTTTGATTAAATTTTCATTAAAAATTTGTTTTTGTCAGTTTCTGTAAAAAAAAAAAAAAAAAAAAAAAAGTCTCATAGAAACAAAACATAAATAATGGTTTCCATTGAAAATTTTCACAGGGGTGTATGTGTGTTAAAACAATTAGTTCCTTTTCAGCTCTGTATTTAAGTGAGATTGAAGTGGTATATAGGCCTTGCATGGGCTTAGTAGCTGTGTTATTAACATTAGCTATGCACTATTTTGGTATGAAGTAAAGATTCCTTTAAACAGCATTAACCTCACCCAGTGTTTTCCCCAGAAATTGAAATTAGGGGGGGTGTTCGAATTTACAGGGGGTGGGTCAGAGCTGATGAGGGGTGAGACTGTCAGGGTGAAGGTGGGCTGTATGGCACCAGAGTAAAAACTGAAAAATGTTTCATGACCATTTTATTAGATTTAACTCATGTTTTAAAATCATCACACAAATTAAAGTTGGCTACTCAAGCCTTCTATGAAGCACTACATCTACATCCTTCTTGGTTTCTTGTTATAATTTTGCACAGCTCTGTTAATGAACTTCTTAAATGCAATGCGTTCATCTTTGGTGGCTTCTCGTGTGTCCGGTACTTCCATTCCTTCAATTGATATGCTCATTAGTTCATTCACATGTTCAGGCAGAAGGCGACTTCTTTCAGAACACAAATTCTATTCAATGAGGAAAAAGAACACTCAACTGTAGCTGTTGTGACTGGGAGTAGCAAGAGATGAATTCCTACTTCTTTCATCCCAGGAAACATAGCATAAAGATCGGGTCGAGCTACTAGTGATGATAAAAAAAAAAAGTTGAAGGCAAATCTTCATTCATTCGTTGTAAAATTCCACTCTGTGTTCAAATTCTCTATTTTGTCCTGAGCACATGAAAGCTCCATTGCTGGTAGTGCCTCACTCCATTCAACTGTCTGTGTTTTATAGGCCAGGGATCTGTAAAAGCTACGTAGAGGTTGAATAGAATCTAGAAGTCACTGTTGTAGATTTTTAAGAATCAAGTCTGTGTACTTTTTCAGTTGTCTTAACAAACACTTCTTGTCCTCTTCACTTAAGGATTCAATATAAATGCCTTCATTAGTCAACTTCTGGACTGAAGTCTTTGCTTCTTCCAGTACTTTTTCAATGGATAGTTCTCTGATGGATCCAAATGTAGCTTCTATTGCTGGACAAAGATCTACTACTGTTGTAGCAGGTGCCTGGATGGCATTGTTTAATGACCCAAATGGTTTCAACAGTTGACTTACAAGACAGAGAATGGCAATAGACTTCTCTGAACGTAGTAGCAAAAGTAATCCACCAGCCTTACTACTTAGATCCATCCCATCTTGGTAGATACTTTCCAAAGCCAGTAATAACGGCTGGAGTAATTTTAAGACAACAGTCAAGGATCGCTCATGAGAAAGCCAGAGAGTTTTCCCAGATTGGACTAATTTGAACTTCAGTCCCAGTATATCTTCTATATTTTCCAAGATAATCAGTCTTTTTGGACCCTTGCTGAAAAAAATATAATGAAGATATTAAATTTATAGCTTTTTTAATGTCTTTTGAAGAGTCTGCAGCTCATACTAGCACTAGTTGGAGTAGATGGCCTCTGCAGTGTGTATAGGAGAGATTAGGGTTACACTTTTCTCTGAGCAAAGCTTGTACTCCACCATGTCTTCCAGAGAAGTTTGCAGCTCCATCAAATGCACAAGCAGCCATCTGTTTTGGGTTCAACTGACAAGCATTTAACTCTTCTAAGATGTGGGTTGTCACAGATGCAGCCGATGTGTCTTCTATAACTTGAACATCTAGAAATGCATCTACTGGCCTACCACTGACATCAAGATAACGTACACAATGACTTAATACTTGATGCCCATTTGCATCAGTGCATTCATCAGCCATGTATGCAAATTTTTTGAATGTGGTGAGAGAGTTCTTCACATTTTCAACTGTTGAGTCTTTCACTGTTGCACCACATGCTTCTAGCCAGTCAGTTGAGTTTCTTCAAGAAAGGTAGTGAGCATTTGCTGGTCTTGTTCGGAACCAGTGTTCAACTTCAGGATGAACAAGTGACAATGCACTTAACATTGGCCTCCAGTTTGTAGTGTGTGATATCTCTTGCTTAAATAGAAAGTATGATGCCACAGCCATGTTTGTTCGCATGAACTGTGTGTCTCCAGCATTCTTAACAGCCTCATTAACATTCACCAGTGTTGTCCTTGGTCAGTGGAGACTCAGAGTTCAGAGGTGCTTTCACATGAGTTCACCTCCCAGGTGGGGGGCAAGAAGGCACCTTGCTCATTCCTCCAGCTGCTCACTGTTCGCTCTGGCCACTGTTCACTCCATAGCTCAGTTGCCAATGGCCCTGCGCCGTCACCTTCTGCTGCCACCTGCCACTGTGACTTCTGCGAATTGGTCTCTTGAGGTTCCACCCAGCTCTCGGTGATTTCAGCTGAGCTCTCAGTGGGGGAACCTCGCTGCTAGTGCAGACTGGGCTGGCTCTTCCACAGAAACACTGTCCCACAGCAGGTCATTATCAGTGATTTCAGCTGTAGTGGTCACTTAACAAAACAAAAGACTATCGATGGATCCTAATCAGCTCTGTCTTTAAACAGCAGAGAGGGGCAGGTCAAATAGTACTTGTGACTCAGGCAGACCATCAAGCAAAACACCTGTCCCCACGCTCTTTCTTGATGCCCTCAATCAGCACAGGCTAAGTACAGTTCTACTGCCCTTTACTCATACAATAAAAATAAAATTTCGTTACCCCTACCCCCTCGCATTCAAGTGATTTGTACCAACCAAAATCTATCACTTGGGCAACACAGCTCTGTTTGCTGGATGCCTAGGTAGATTAGGTGTGAATGTAAATATAATCTGGTCCTGAAGCCTTTCCCCCCAGCTTATCACTAGCTGTCAGGGAGAGCTCATTTAGACTTTGCTTACAAATCATAGTTTGAAATTATTAGGTTGGCCAACAGCACCGACATGAATGCATTGACATTGTCATAAAAAACAAAAGCTGTATAAGGAAGCTAGTCTATGTTTATACTTTTCAAATCTATTATACTTTTTCAGATACACGTATTTTATTGTACACTTTATATGCTTTTAAAGTGTGTATTAATGTTTCAATTTCAATTCAAATTTCCAAACAATCACTAAATTGGCAACACTGCATATAACTAGTTCACAAAACTGGGGGGTGGGTGTTGGGGAATTTCAGTGGGGGGGCTCAGGGAAATCCACCTCTTTCAGCTCTTCATAGGTTATCGCCATAACATTTTCATCATCCATATGCTTGTTCCATTCAACTAAATAATCAAAATAGGAGCCCCGGGACACTGGAGGAAAAAAACCAGAAAAACAGAATGATTCAATAATAATGAGGTAAAGATTAATTGCGACAGGGGACATGGACTCCTTTTATAGGCTTAGGCTGACTTCTTGTTATCAGACAGGGTTTTGAGGTGAGGACTACAGTAATGCATTTTGCCACTGCTCTTCTGAACAGGAGCCGTAAGTGTTCCTTCCATCTGATGGCTAGTACTGGCCACTAATGGAGGAGCATATATCTGCTAGGTGGAAAGGACTAAACACCCTTTTAACCACCTTAGGGACATAGCGTAGATTTTAGAAGCTGGAAAGCTAGCCAGCTGAACATTCCAGTGCACATCCTGTCTGACTGCTGGCTGGGTTGAAAAGGAGGCTCTCCTTTGCACTGATCCCAACTACAACTGAGTGAGTGATGGATTTTTTTGGTTCAGACAGTGAACTAAAAAATTCAAAAAAGAATCTTGTTTGATTTGAACCAATAACAATTTTTTAATTTTTTTGTTGAATCAAAAAAGTAGAAAAAAATTAGTTTAGAAGCAAACAAAATGTTTAACTTGATTCCAAACAAATTTTATTTTGAATTATTCACTTTGATTCAGACGTTTTAGGTGCTTTTCACCCTTTTGTGGTAATTTAAAAGTGAAATGCCATTTTGAATAGAAAAGTTGAACCAAATATTTCAAACTGAAACAGTCAAAGTGAAATGATTCAGAATGATTGAAACAAAATGTTTCCTCTGTTTAGAAATTTTGTTTCTAAATTAAAAAATTTCTAAAATTACAAAATTTAAATTCTAAAATTTAGTTTCAAACAAAATTATTTATCAAATTCAACCTGAAATCAGCAAACATTTTTGGCCCCCCAAAAAACAATTAGTTGAAAACATTTTGCTCACCTCTATTCCCAAGAATTTTAGCCTTCTACCCAGTAAATGAATTCAGTTTATGCATAGATTAGCAGAAAGAAAAGTTATAGGGTGAACTTGGTTTGAGTTGGTATATTGGGTTTGGATTTCTAGGCCAGCATGCTTATGTCTATTTTAATAAGTATAGGCATAGTTGGTAATATAATTCATATTTAATTTCCTAAATCTGTGTTTCAGATTATATAAGATTCAGGGTAATGGTGGTCAGGCCATAAGAGCTTACATGACCTACTCAAGATCACAGAGGGAGTCAGTGTCCCCAAATAAATTATCTCTTGATTTCAGGGGTCACAGTCTGATTTCAATTACATCATTTATAAATCTAGAATAACTTTATGACCAAGAAGTTTTCTTGAATTATAACAATACAACTGAGATCAGAATCTGCCCTACATCTTCCTGAATCCCAGTGCCCAGTTTTGCCAGTGCACTAATTAATCAGAATAGCTAAAAAAAACCCACACAAAAACAGAAAAACAGAGTGTACATTTTCCATGCATAAAAGCTGTAAAATACTCATCCCACGAGCTGAAGGAGGGAAGTGGAGGCATATTGTTGTGAAAATGGAAGTAAGATACAGCAGTGTCTTTTGGATTTCGAACCACCAGCAGTATCTAAAAAAACATAAGTAAATGAATTATTTGTTTAAAGGTTGAAAGTCGATACAAAAAAGTTTGTAATTTTCCTAGCACAATGAGCACTATAGTAATACAAATAATTAGATAAGAAAAAGTTTATATTTTTTAACAATCACAGCAGCAGTAGAATCAGTTTAAATAATTTTGCCTTATTTGAAAAATAAGGAATGGCAAAGCTCATTAACAGGATATTTCTGCTGAAATGATAGCAGAGAAACAGTAAACATTTAAATTGTCAGCATTAGGTTTCAGTGTTCATGCACCATGTAGACGAATTGGGCCAGTTTACTCCCAGCCTAAAGCTATTCTTTCAGCTGTTTGCTGTCCCAGTACATAACACTGTATCAGTTCACATGCAGAAATCTTATCTTCACAACCATAAAACCTAGATGGAATCATAGAAAACACAAGGCCCTGCATATAACATAGAGGAAATCCAAACGGGTCTGAAAATGCCATTACAGTGGGTATTTTCTACGATACTGTAAATGAGGACTTACCTTGGCCTTGCTTTTGAAAACAGATTTTGGCAGGACTTGAGGAGGGAGATGTGTTATTATGATTCTTCTGAAAGGTAATTCCTTCATCCTCTTTAAATAAAATTGGAAAGAAACATTGAATTAAATAGTCTCTTTAATAGAATGTTATCTTTTTAAGAATTATTTGTTTTAAAGAATTAGACTTAGCAGGAAATAATATTTCTTTCAGCCAATCCAGAGGGTGACTATTTCACTACCATTAATATACAGCAGAATCTAAGACAAATTAGCATTAATTTTTCCAAGTCCTTCTTGAATCCCTCATTTCTTTCAAACTTTAACTAGCATGCTCCCAATTATGAATGTTCCTCTAATGCAGTGGTCCCCACCCTTTTTGTGGCCAATAGCACATTCATGTTTTCAGAAGAGTGTGGCGGGCGCCAACAATTTTTCAAGGCTTATTTTGCATTTGTACATTAAATAATACAAAAAAATCATATTTAATATTACATAATATATGAATCCATAAGATTAAAAAGGTAATTTTATATGTAAAAAGTATTAATTAAATTATTTGGCAATTACTCTTTCACTTTACCATGTGAATTTGCTCTTTTTTATCTACCTGTAAGAAAAATTTAGGAGTTTTTACAAAATAAATATCATAAACAGTTTTCATCTTATTTATTTTAAAAAAGTAAAACATTGTTGAACTGCTGGTCCAAATATATTTATTATTCTTACTTTAACATAGATAGCCAGTTATGGTTAATTAAAAAATGTTCTTTGTATTGTTACTTGTATCTGGATTTCAATAAACAAGCAAACAAATATGAAAAAAAGTTAAACACAAGTTAATCATACACACTCATCAACACTTAATGGAAAACAGGTATCATTAATTCACGTGGTTTTTCTAATAAAGTCAGTGTGATTTTTGGCACTGCATTTCTTCAGCCAATTTTTCGTAGTTGAGAGAGTAGGATGATATTCCCGTTCGTAAGCAAACATCAAGATGGGCATCTGTAAGCCGAGATCTGTATTTTGATTTTATGATGTTCATTGTTGAAAACAAAACTTCGCATAGATAAGTGGAACCGAAATAAGATTTTATTTTGTATGCTACATTTTTTAAGGCAGGAAACTTTTTTGGTCAACCAGATTCCAAACGTTTTCATCTGTTGCACAGGATTTTAGAACAATATCATTTTGAAGATCCAAAATCTCCAGTTCCACTTCTTCTGTTTTTACTTGAATGAGACTTGCAATTGATGTAGCCATTTCTGTTACCTCTATTTGGCAAGTAAAAGGATTCATAAGAAAGGCAACTACAGGCTCAATGATGGTGAACTGTTGAAATCTCTTTTCAAATTGTTCCAGAAGTGTTCGAATGTGGATAACAAATGGTGATGGGTTAAAATCACTGTCACATACCATTTTCTTCATACTTGGGAAATGTACGAGAGACTTCGTCTTCATATGTGACATCCACAAGATCAGTTTTGCTTTGAATGATTTTACAGAACCTATCATTTGAGCCACATGTTTGTCTTTTCCCTGGAGCTTAAGATTTAAAATGTTCAATTTGTCAGTGATGTCGGCAAGAAAAGCCAAGTCCATTAACCAGCTGGAGTCTTCTAGTTGCTCGAAGTTCTGATTTGTGGACTTCAGAAATTCTTTGATCTCTTCAATTAGACTTAAAAAACGTGCAAGAACTTTACCTTTGCTCAGCCATCATACTTCTGTGTGCAAGATAAGATCAGATTGATTATCATCGACATCTTCCAACAGGGCCTTAAAAAGTCGGTGTTGCAAAGGTTTTGCTCAAATAGAGTTAATTATTTTAATAACGACATTCATGACATGTTGAAAAGAAAGAACTTGGACGCACAAAGCTTCTTGGTGGATAATGCCATGATAAGACATAAAGTTCGGAAAGGATTCATTCTTCTTGCAGAGTGCAATGAATCCATTGGCGCTGCCCATCATTGCTGGTGCCCCATCAGTGGTGATCGCAGACAGCTTGTGTAGTGGCATACTAATTGATGTTGCGTCTGATTTGAATAAATTATAGATGTCCTCACCCTTTGTTCGCCCTTTCATAGGCAATACTTTTAGTAACTCTTCTTTTACAGTGAAGTCACTAAATACCATCCTCACCATAACTGCCAACTGCGCTGTATCTGATATATCTGTCGACTCATCGAACTGCAGTGAAAACCAGTCACATATTTCCAAGTCATCCTTTAGCTGAGTTTGCATGTTGCTTAAAATTGCATGTATCCTCCTCGTAACTGTGTTGTCTGATAACTGCAAGTCTTGTATTGCCAACAAAATCTCACACTTGTTAGGAAATCCTTGAAACAGGCAATCAGCACCAGTCAAAAATGCTTCCTTCAACAATTCACCATCTTGAAAGGGTTTTTTTCTTCTTTGCGAGCAGATGAGCAATTTTAAAGGAAGCAATAGTAGCACTTTTAGACTTTACCACTTGTCTAGTGAAAACAGATTGCTGGGCAGATAGCTTTGATTTGAGTTGATTCATTTTCTTCTTTCTCAACTCAGATTTAAGTGGATGGCTAATGTCAAAAGAGCTGTGATTAGTTTGGAAATGGCGTTGGACATTATGTTTTTTCGGCACTGTAACAGTACCACCGCACAATAAGCAAACACATTTCCCTTTATTTTCAATAAAACAATAGGATTCTTCCCACTCTGCGTTGAAATAATAAGTATGTTGTCTTTTATTTGAACCACTCATTTTGGGGCAAAATGTTAAAAAAATAATAAATCACAAAGCACAAGAAAACAGCAGTAATCAGTGCAGCGGAAGAATACTCACATACAGGGTCGGCTCCAGGCATCAGCGGAGCAAGCACGTGCCTGGGGCGGCACATGCTAAGGGGCGGCATTTTGTCCGTTCTTGGGATGGCTGAGACCGAGTGGGGTTTTTGTTTTTTTTTCTGCTTCGGCAGTCCGAGACGCTTTTTTGCAGTTCTGGGCAGCACGGAGAGAAGCTGGAGAGAAGCCGCGGCCCCGTGCCTGCCGGGGACAGAGAACACCGGCGCCCGCATCCTGCAGCCCCGGAGTTTTCTCTCTCCGGCAGGCACGGGGCCGCAGCTTCTCTCCCCTGCTGGGCACTACTTTTCACACCGTGTCACTAGGCGGGCGCACATAAATGCCCTGGCGGGCACCATGGCATCCACAGGCACCACGTTGCAGACCACTGCTCTAATGCTCTCTAGTGAATGTGGCCCCATGTATGTTGCTCCTCCAGAGAAAATACAGTGCAAGACCCTGTTCTAACAGAATTTCCAGCCTGACTAGAAATAGGGGGCCTGTTCTTTTGAGATGTCCAGCTGAGTTTAGGCAGAACTAGTGATACACTCATTACACTGGTCTACAATTTTTGAGAAGTCGTCTGCTTCAGAGATAAAATGTGCTATTTATTACGTATTTTGATGTGCTGAATTCAAATATGACAATTAAAACAACTGATTGGCTACTGTTTCTAAGATATTTAAGTTTTTACATTTTATGTCTATGTATATTGTGTAGATAGTAGAGTTTTAATCATAAATTGTAAACCTAGGTCTTTTCATGTGTTTATGGTTGCTTTACATGATAATATTTCACCTGTCCTGTTTATGTAACACTTTAAAAATCAGCAAAAGGGTTATATAAATAAAATTTATTATGAAACAAAAGGCAAAAAACTATTCTGTACATAGTTTAGTCCTATTCAGTGTCTACTCGGCGCTTCTTGGCTTGTCTCTTGTATTCATTAAATGGAGCATCTCTTGTCACTGTCCAGCAATAGTCTGCAAGCATTGATGGCCTCCATTTGCTCTGATAGCGTTTCTCCATTGTTGCAATGTCCTGGTGAAATCGCTCGCCGTGCTCGTCGCTCACTGCTCCGCAGTTCGGTGGAAAAAAATCTAGATGAGAGTGCAAAAAATGTATCTTTAGTGACATGTTGCAACCAAGGCTTTTGTATGCCTTGAGGAGGTTTTCCACCAACAACCTGTAGTTGTCTGCCTTGTTGTTTCCGAGAAAATTTATTGCCACTAACTGGAAGGCTTTCCATGCCATCTTTTCCTTGCCACGCAGTGCATGGTCAAATGCATCATCTCGAAGAAGTTCACGAATCTGAGGACCAACAAAGACACCTTCCTTTATCTTAGCTTCACTTAACCTTGGAAATTTTCCACGGAGGTACTTGAAAGCTGCTTGTGTTTTGTCAATGGCCTTGACAAAGTTCTTCATCAGACCCAGCTTGATGTGTAAGGGTGGTAACAAAATGTTCCTTGAGTCAACAAGTGGTGGATGCTGAACACTTTTCCTCCCAGGCTCCAATGACTGTCGGAGTGGCCAATCTTTCTTGATGTAGTGGGAATCTCTTGCACGACTATCCCATTCGCAGAGAAAACAGCAGGACTTTGTGTATCCAGTCTGCAGACCAAGCAAGAGAGCAACAACCTTCAAATCGCCACAAAGCTGCCACTGATGTTGGTCATAGTTTATGCACCTCAAAAGTTGTTTCATGTTGTCATAGGTTTCCTTCATATGGACTGCATGACCAACTGAAATTGATGGCAAAACATTGCCATTATGCAGTAAAACAGCCTTAAGACTCGTCTTCGATGAATTAATGAACAGTCTCCACTCATCTGGATCGTGAACGATGTTGAGGGCTGCCATCACACCATCGATGTTGTTGCAGGCTACAAGATCACCTTCCATGAAGAAGAATGGGACAAGATCCTTTTGACGGTCACGGAACATGGAAACCCTAACATCACCTGCCAGGAGATTCCACTGCTGTAGTCTGGAGCCCAACAGCTCTGCCTTACTCTTGGGTAGTTCCAAATCCCTGACAAGGTCATTCAGTTCACCTTGTGTTATGAGGTGTGGTTCAGAGGAGGAGGATGGGAGAAAATGTGGGTCCTGTGACATTGATGGTTCAGGACCAGAAGTTTCATCCTCTTCCTCTTACTCGTCTGACTCAAGTGAGAATGATTCTGGTGCATCAGGAACCGGCAGTCCTTCTCCGTGGGGTACTGGGCGTATAGCTGATGGAATGTTTGGATAATGCACAGTCCACTTTTTCTTCTTTGACACACCTTTCCTAACTGGAGGCACCATGCAGAAGTAACAATTGCTGGTATGATCTGTTGGCTCTCTCCAAATCATTGGCACTGCAAAAGGCATAGATTTCCTTTTCCTGTTCAACCACTGGCGAAGATTTGTTGCACAAGTGTTGCAGCATATGTGTGGGGCCCACCTCTTGTCCTGATCTCCAATTTTGCAGCCAAAATAAAGGTGATAGGCTTTCTTAACCATAGTGGTTATACTGCGCTTTTGTGATGCAAAGTCACTTCACCACAAACATAGCAGAAGTTATCTGCACTGTTCACACAAGTACGAGGCATCTCTGCTCACTTTGGCTAAACAGAAATGTGTCCCTTTGCAAAATCAAATACTGACAAATAAGAGAGCACAACACTGTATGATTTCTAGAGCTGATATAGGGCAATTTGTTCAGCAGAGTGATGTAAGCTTCGTTATGATTGCATCATCCATGACTTCTAGGAATAACATGATGCAATTCATATCATGTATGACGCAATACCAGCTTCAGATTGCATCATTCATTGTTTTGCCTAAAAAGCAAGTACTGTCCAAACCCAGTCATAGATTTATTCATAGATCCTGTCAAAGATGTATTTTAGTCATTTCTGGTTTAAATTGAGATCCCTTCCCTTTATAACTCACTTATCCTCCGCCATTCCCAAGTCAGGGGTCGTATATACTGACCCAATAGCATATCTTGAAAACTAGAGCCTATCAACAATTTTAAGCATCATTTTCGTTCTCAGTGACCCAAAATTAGTAAATTTTGACTACATTTATTTCAGAAGCATTTTGGCTGTAGAGCAGTGTTATCTAATGGCTGACAATAAGCACTTCTCCAGAGCCTCTTAGACATTCAGATAAACAGACCTAGCAAACCACTCTGCAATAGCACCTTCTAGTGACTCCCAGTAAGGGTGCATCTGCTGACATCTATGGGGTGGCTTTGTGGCCTAGCAGATGGATAAAGCAGTACTGGTATTCAGGAGACCAGAGAGTTTGTGTGCAAGTCATTTCTCTACTCTGTGCCTCAGTTTTACCTTCCATAAAATGGGGATAATGATACTTACCTCCTTTGTAAAGTGCTTTGACAGCTACTGATTAAAAGAGCTATATAGGAGCATGGTATTATTATGCATGTCTAATCAGTATCTTTCTATAGTTCCAAAAAGACAGGTCACCATATCACAAAAATCAGCATCATAGCTAGGGCCCTACCAAATTCATGGTCTCCCCCGTGAAATCGGAATAGTATAAGGTAAAAAGACCCAAAAGACCAGATTTTATGGGGGGAGACCAGACGTCACGGTCTGTGACATGTTTTAGGTAGGGCCCTAATCGTAGCTCTGTCTAATTGTCCTTAGAGATGGGAAATACAGTTCAAACAGAGTAAAAGCCAACCTAAAACTTTAACCAAACCCTTTTTTTTCAGTTTGATAAAGTGAAATGCAAGGGGTGGCTAAAGCATGCTACTAGGAATCAGGAGACTGGGTTCTTCCCGTTCTGGCTCCGCCACAGACTTCCCGTGCTACCACTTTGGGATCAAGGAGAGACAATGTGGCAGTGGGAGGAGAAGTGTTAGTTGAAGACTAGTGAGCTGATGTTGGGAGTGTTTTGGATGGATGAGAGAAAGAAAGGTGGAGGAGGATGGAATACGGGAAATGGGGAAAGCTGAAGGGGGAAAGAAGTGGATTTTTCAAAACAATTCAGATTAATCTGAATGAGCATCTAATGGACCTGGAGACAGGATGATGTCCCTGCTACTACAGCAGAGCCTTCTAGGTCAGGGTTTGAGATTCATTAACAGGACAGGGTGAAAATGTTTGCATTGCTTGTGTTATGAGAGCTTTTTGGCCAAACAGAGGGCCCTATAAGATGAAGTCATTGATATGACACCTTTCTCAGGCAATAAAATCAGTTACTTACAGAAATGATAAAATAAAAGCACACACAAATTCTGTCCACAGGGAGCATACAAGGTATATCAGTCAGCTGTTCAGCAGCTGCAGATTCAGTGAGCTTTGTACTGGTGTTAGAGGTTGTTCATCTAGGATTAATCACTTATCTCTTGAATTTTTGCTCCTCTTGATCTCTATATTTGACAATGAATGAAACTCCTCCTTATGACATGGGAAGTAATATTTGTCCAGTAATTGTTATTCATTCATGCTCCGACTATCCCTTTTTATTTACTCATTGACCTGCACATGTATCCCTAATGTTTGGGCGTTTTTGCCCATTGACACCTCAGAAAAGCCACAGAACGAGAGGAAGCATAGATCCAAATATCTCTGCTGCAGTTCTGGCTTCCTACCAGATTTATGGACTGGTCATGCTGCCAGCCAGGGGCGGCTCCAGGCACCAGCGCAGTAAGCAGGTGCTTGGGGCGGCCAACGGAAAGGGGCAGCATGTCCGGCTCTTCGGCAGCAATTCCGCGGCGAGTTCCTCGATCTCTCTCAGAGGTAAGGCCCTGCTGCCGAATTGCCACCAAAGAATGAAGTGGCAGCAGTAGAGCTGCCGCCCATCGTGGCTTTTTTCGATCGCGGCTTCTTCTTTTTTTTCCGCTGCTTGGGGCGGCAAAAACGCTGGAGCCGGCCCTGCTGCCAGCAGTAGATACGCGGAAGCAGGAAGGGGTTCAGGGGCAGGTCCACCCAGATAGTTGATATGGTCCCTCAGTTTCACCATATGTGTCCCCAAAAGTATCAGTGTTCCCTTCACACCCTTCCCCGCCCTCACTCTTGGGCAGATTACTACTGCTGTCTTCTGTGGGAGAGCTGTGCATGGGCCCAGGGTTAGCACCCTGCTGTGTTTACCCCCTCAGTCTGCTCTTAGTTTTGGCCCTAACACCATTCAGTGTTATTTAATGTCCTTTTCCTGCAATAGATGAATGCAATACCAAATCTTGATCTTGCCTCTCTGTGAGTGTGGAGCCCTTCCACGGCTCTATGACCCATCTAGATCTGTGGAGCAGTGCAGAGATTGAAAGGGGAAGACCCCCAAGGGCAGCAGCCATAGAACTATTCCCTACTACCCTTTTCTCCGAAGGCAGAGTCTGAGTGCTCTCCCATTGCCTCCCCCAGTAACTCTGAAATAAGGGGAGGGATCTCTCCAGCTGAGTGAAATCCTGGGAAACCGTGATGCAGAAAATCAACCCTGGAGCTGACTGAGAATTTAAAAAGGAGCTGTTAGCAACCAGAATGGGAGACTCCTAGGCCAAAGACTACTAGGCCATTTTCCTATCATGGAAAATTAAATGGAGAGGGGGTAACAGAAACTCCCCTAAACCCCTAGTCCCATTCACAATTGCTTGTTTTGGGGTGGAGGGTCTCAAATCCCTCCTCTCCACATAGTCAGCTCTATGGGGACAGTAGTAGTGCAAAGGAGAGGGAGAGAGACAGATCAGGATTTAAGGAAACCCAGTGGTGTGGAGGTCATTTTCATGAATTCTCCACCCCTTGTCTGAACTTCCATGGTTTATAGTCATAGACTAGCTAAGCAAATGCACTGCACCTTGATTGTGCTGACTTGATCACACCTTGGGGGAGATAAGAGTCCTCCATAGCCTGTAAAATTCAGCCATTACATTTTATCAATTCTTAAATATGTCAAACAGTTCATATTAACATTTCTAATATTATCCTGTGCTGACCTTAAATGTCTCTGGATCCCCATATTCTAGACGTAGAAATACAGATAATTCATTTGTAATATTAATTCTCTCATTAATTTCCTCCTCTGTATATTTTGCAGCTGTAATTTCCAAGTCATTTAGGACTTGATCAACCCAGTTAGTACCTGAAACAAAAGAGAAACTGGTTTAAAGACTATGGAAGTGAAAATTGTCACAACAAGTGTTGAATGTATTTAGTTGCAAATACCTGTGTATGATTGGGGGGAGGGATAGCTCAGTGGTTTGAGCATTGGCCTGCTAAACCCAGGGTTATGAGTTCAATCCTTGAAGGGGCCACTTAGGGATCTTGGTCCTGCTAGTGAAGACAGGGGGCTGGATTCAATGACCTTTCAAGGTCCCTTCCAGTTCTAGGAGATGGGATATCTCCATTTATTTATTTTATTTTTTTATATCAATTATTGTGCAAGAAAAAAACATTAACATTCATGGATAGTAGCTAACTAAACTGAAATCTTACTTTGATACAGGAATATTTTCCTGTTGTATATGACACAAGCTATGAGTGAACAGAAGTGTCATATGATTGGGCTAAATAATCTGTCAACAAACAGGAACAGTCCTATTTGTGAAGCTCATAGTTCTTTACGACTAACCATTAGGTTATAATTCACTAAATTAAAAACCATGTTCTCTGGGTGAATTCATGTCACAGATAAATGCAGGCACCTACCACTGTCACTGACTAGGCTCCTACTTGCCAATCCAGGGTAAGCCATTAGTACTAGCTTGACCAAAAGCAAAATATACAATAATGACTTCTAAAAAGAAGAAATCAATTTGGGGGAAATGGACAGAAACACTTGTGATCACAGTTATGTGAAATCTGGATACCCTCATATCTGTGAGTCACATTGTGTTTTTTCTCACATTTCAGTTGTGTAAATTTGGAATCATTCTATTGGCTTCAATTGAGTGTGTGCAGATTTAGAGCAGTGCAACTGACAGCAGAATTTGATCCAATTTTTCCATATGAGACTTGCTGAATTAATAAGTGAAGGAATTGTTTTTCGAACCACCAGCCCTTCAAACTCAGTCAAGCTGTCTTCTTCTCAGCTCATTCATCATCACAATGCAAAATATTAGTAAAGGTTTGTCGTCTGCATTGAATCAGATCTACAATGAGACACAGGAACATTTTCTCTAAACTGATAAACGCTGAACATATATAGTTACTTAAAATTTAAATATTCAAAGGCAGAAGAAAGAAATTGACAGACATTAATGGCCGAAATTATTATTCTCACCTCATTCATCTGAACAATCCCTAATACAATATCTTTATGATGGACATCATTTACTATAAACTGCAGCCCCGTATAATCATTGCATTAAATACTGCCTAATCATTCATAACCACTGTATAACATTTCACATTTAGTTTTTGTAACAAGCTAGCAATAGTCACCACTTTTAGGGTATCCTGCTAGGATCACATCATCACTCCTGGCTTCAAAAGAATCAAGAACTTGCAAAGTTTCCGGGTTGCAAAAAGCAGCAGGGCACAAAATTCCCTTATATGAAAATAGGAGGTCTTCAGGAGCTCTCTTTTCACCATCAGCCAATATCTTATCCAGATATTCAACTACTGTCTTCCTGCTCTTATCCATGTTTGTGAAACTCTCTATTCAGAGGGACTGAAACACAGGCTGTCTTTTAGCGAAACAATTGTGGTAGTGATGTACAGTGTGATTTAATGGTAAATGACACTCCCTTGGGCATGAAGGTAAATGTTACTGATTAATTTGGAGTGTCTGAGATTGAAAGGGGCTGTGGCCTTGTGTACTGAGCTTTCTAAATATCTGGAACTATAAGCATCCCAGAGAAACACACACTGCACTTTGCATGCAGTAGTTCCCACCTGAGTCAAGGGAAGTTTTCAGATACTCAACAATTTTGAAAATCAGGCCATTTATTTAAGTAGCTATAATATGGATTGAGGACACCATTTGAAAACACAAACCCTTGCTCAGTATATTATAGTTACGCTACAGTTTTCTTATGCTTCATATAATCTTTTACACATATCAGCTACCTGTGCTACAACCACACCTTGACTTGCAGTGTACCACAAAATCTCACGCCAGGATCTATATCTTGGTTTGAAACGGCAGGACACAGCAATTGTTAGTAGTACAAGTATAGTCTGACACCTAGTGGTTTTACAAAAAGAACTAGTGGATAAAATTAGTGATATAACTAAGGCCTGGTCTACACTGGGGGGGGTAGGGGGATCAATCTAAGATACGTAAATTCAGCTACGAGAATAGCATAGCTGAAGTCGACATATCTTAGATCAACTTAGAATCACTTACTTCGCGTCCTCGCGGCGCGGGATCGACGGCCACCGCTCCCCCGTCGACTCCGCTTCCGCCTCTTGCCGTGGTGGAGTTCCGGAGTCAACGGCAGAGCAATCAGGGATCCATTCATCCGCGTCTACACTAAATGCGATAAATCGATCCCTGATAGATCGATCACTACCCGCCGATCCGGCAGGTAGTGTAGACGTACCCTAAGTGATAATTGCTGGAGATCCAATTCTTACTTACCTTGAATCATGCCCTGAAGTCAGTGGTACTACTCATCTGAATAAGGCAAGTAGGATTTGTCCCCCAAGAGGGTCTGGGTTTCTGGGGTTGTGTGAAAAAACAGTGAGAATCTGTGAAATAGTGTAAAGACGGTTTCTTAAGTAAAGTTTGATTGTATTATAGCTATAGCAGTCGCAATATCAATAGTTACAGATGACACATAAATGCGTATAGTGCTTGAGGCTGATCTCACACCAGTTTTATGCCGGAGTAAGGGTAGCTGTTTGAAATGCAACATAACAGGCAAGTTTGAACTAATTTAGCTATACTGTCAATATTTCAACACTGGCCCAAAACACACTTCACAATCTGATATAGCCATATCCCAAACTGTCACCCTCAACACCAAGCATTTCTCATTAGAGTCAAGGGAAGAGCATCTAGGTACTCAGAATTTTGAATATCAGGCCTAATTTCCAATGCCTAAATTTGGACTTAAGAACCTAACTTTAGGCTCCTATTTTCAAAAATCTTGGAAATTTTAAACTGCAGTGTTGTTATACTGCAGTTTGACTGAGTTCTGTTCCACTTTGCAACCCTAACTTCAAGTTAACAAAGTTTGTTTGTTTTTGTCTGTGAATAATAAAAGAAAGCTTGTCTTTGAATAAAATGTAGTATATTGTTTAAAAATAAAGGAAGAACTACATTTCCCTAATAGTATTAATATTTATTATTTATATTATACTAGTGCCTGAAAGCCCCAACCAAAATCAAGTCCCTGAATTACTAGGTGCTGTATAAACAAAGGAAGAGACAGTTCAGTTCCTGCCCTGAAGAGCTTACAATGTAAATAGACAAGACAAACAAAGGATGGATGATAAAACACAGGCTTGGAGAGAAGAAGTAATTTGCCAAAATTCACAAAGTAGGCCAGTGGCTGAGCTGGCAGTAGACACAGGTCAACTGACTCCCAGGTTAGCACCCTAGCCAATAGACCTGAAGCAATAGCTAGCTTTTCATTAACAATGAGTTTCTGGCTGCAGGAATAATAGAGTTCATAGTCCAGTATTTTAAAAAATGACTGCGCAGAGCTAAAGGGCACATGTCAGCTTGTTAGCTTTGCTGAACTGAACAAAATACATCAGGCTTGATTATTCACTGCCTTGCCCTTTGTCTAGTATATCTATAAACTACTGTTGTTATTTTATAATACATCATTAACATTTTGGTCCCAGGGCAGAGTACTGTATATTTTATTGCTTATGGTGTTGACTTGCATCTTTGGCTTCTGTTCTGGAAGTCAGAGGCACTTGATAGGTTGGAATTGAATCACCCAAGCAACGCAGCTCAGCAACTACATTAGGTGTTTCTTCAGAAATCTCCCATCCAAATTCTTACCAGGCCTGAATCTATTTAGCTTCAGAGAAACTGATGAGGTCACAACCTATAGTGAAATAGCTGTAATTATTTCCTGCTCATAGAATCATTTATGGAAACAATCCAACTAGCTGATCCAGTCCATCTCACTGCCGGTTCAGGATTTTTCCCTGCAATACATCTTCAGGTGCTTTGTTCTATCTAGATTTAAGTGTCCCCAGATGATGAGGTTTCACTGTATGTTACACAGCTTAATACACTTCTCTGTCAAGATTTTTTCCCATTCAGTTTAAACTCTCCCTTTTTCAGAGACACACCTATAGTCTTGTACACCCAGGTGTTAAAAGAAAGAATTCTTCTCCCTATTTGATATATTCCTCTGCTTTCTGTCAAATAGGTGTCAGCTGCTTTCTTGTCCCTACTTAGCTGCTGTTTAGCCAATCTATACATACTGGGCGAAATTCTTCACTGGGTTACACCCTTGAAAATCCAGAGAAATTCCATAGATTTTGGCAAAGTCAGTCCTGACTTAAACTGGTGTAACCAAGAGCAAAATCTGGCTCACTCTATGAATCTCCTTTATAAATCAATCCCTCCACCCTGCTAATAAACTTTGTTGATCTTATCTGAACTGCACCTAGTTTGTCAATATCTTTCTAGCAATGAAGTTCTCAGAACTGAACACAATATTTCAGGCACAGGCAAGTAGAGCCACATAGAGGGGAAATATCACCTCTTTGTTTCATTAGGATTTTCCCTTTGCACCCTAAATTTGTACTGACCATTTCACAGCAGCCATATACTATTACAATCTGAAATGTAGTTTGCTGTCCACTTTCACCCCATTCAGCATTGCTGCTTCCTATATACTCCCACTGAATATATGTGTTTGAGATTACTTTTCCCTAGGGAAACAATAGGCATTTATTCAAGTTAATCGCTATTTTGCTATACTCTGGCCTTTTTTATAATTTCTCTCTGACCCTCTGTATCATCTGTTTGCACTTGGTGTTCTTGTCTCCAGTATTTGAACAACTGCCTTATCTTGACGTCAGGTAAGCATGCCTGGAATTTTATTCTTGTTAACAAATCTGTTGAATGTTAGTGCTTAGGAAAGATGCTGAATTTAAGCCATGGAGATTAAAGTCTTCTCTTTATCCATATAATAAGTACTACATGGGCCACGGGAGCACCAGTGTCCTTACCCTCCCCTGCCAATCAGCTTTTCCCTGCCTACTTCATGGAAAGCCAAGGGTATTTCCGTTTCCCTGTTCACTCAATTATTGCAATTGTTACCATATCCAGTTAGTGCCTTATATATTCGGCACACTTCAAACACCTTTTTCTGAAAGCTACTATCCCACTAGCGACCCTAAGCATCAGGATGGGCTACCCTAAAGCCTCAAGCCAAGTTTTATGTCTCAGAAACCAACAGAATCTGTGAAATAGCATCTAAGCCATTGCTAGACTATAGTTTTAATTGCATTATAGCTACAGCAATTACAAAAGCAAGAGTTAAAAATGACACACAAGAAAATGAGTACAGGGCCTGACTCTGCTCTCCCTGACACCAATTTTGTACTAGTGTAACTTCACTGATTTCAATGGAGCTGCTGCTGATTGACACCCATATATCCAAGAGGAGAATCAAGCTAATGTAGTTTGGGATACTAACAGCCACATTCTTTGTGGGTATAAATGGGCACAATGCCTCTGACTCCAATAGTTTCCCCATTTACACCAGCAGGGAATTTGCCCATAAATCTGCAGGCAAGTTTCCCAAAGCCATTCAGACCCAGACTAAAACTCTATTTTCAGAAAGATGAAAAACATGAAGAAAATATTGTGTTCCTTTATTTTAATAATTACTCTCTCTCTCTCCTTCCATTTGAGCAATGCTTATTATGGGTCTTCTTATGGAAAGATTTGTACTGACTTGAGCTGGGGTTGAATCAGTCCCTGTCTTTGGTAGAAATCCCTTTGTGAAGAAGATGCTTCATTTAAAACATTTTTTGAAAATGTCTCCACATACCAAATGCTATTAAATATGTTAGCAAGACTGGTGGAGTTGGGTGAGATGGGGCAATGGTAGGGGGGAAAGAGAGTAGTGGGGGAGAGAGGTTCTTCCAGGTGATATGTACTGGAGCAGTGGTGTAGTATTTTTCTGAGTATGACTGATTACAATAGCATTGAATAAAGGAATGCAGTCTAAGCATGCTGAGAATCGGCTGTCACTGTAAAGAGAGCTGGAGAGTTGTGATCATTTACAAACATTCAGAGAAGTTTGGATCACTTGATCTATTTTTCTAGTGCATGTAATGCAACTGATCTGATAGAATTGTGAGGAACTGTTGCTTTACCAATGTTTTCTTCGTCCTCAGGCTTTGCAGTACACCTCATACTTTATCTTTGCTCCCAGCTTAGTTCTTGCTAGGTGTTCTTCAAACATTTTGTCCATTTCTTTGTTCTGATCTTCATTAAAAAGGTTCTTCCAGTCGCTAACACCACCTACAAAGAAGCAACATTTATTGTGTTAGTATGTATAATATATGTACAAAAAACTTTGAAAATGAAGAATTTAGCATTTCTATTTTTTTCTAAAGATCAGTCATTTTGATCACTTTCGCTAACTGGAGTGTGTTGCTATGTTTTTTAAACACAAGGCCTGATTCAGTGTTACTTCAGTGTAATTCTACTGATGTCAGTGGAATTACTCCAGTGTAAAACTCCTATAATAGAGTCCATCTCATTAAGCTTCACTGACTAATACAGTATAGCACATAAAAAGGAAAATGCACCTCATTTAAGGAAATAAAGTAATTATTAGGACTTTATGCAGTACCGTTTTGTGAGGCAGCATTGAGCAAATAAAGGGGAATTACTTGTCTGAATTCCCCTTAGCAGATGACTGTGAGACTGGTATTCACAGCAGCAGCATCAGTGTAGTATGCTCTCCCAAGAGAAGGGACAAGAATCATAGAATCATGGAACTGGAAGGAATGCTGAGAGGTCTTCTAGTCCAGTCCCCTGCACTCATGGCAGGACTAAGTATTATCTAGACCATCCCTGACAGGTGTTTGTCTAAGTTGCTCTTAAAACCCTCCAATGACAGAGATTCCATAACCTCCTAGGCAATTTATTCCAATGATTAACTAGCTGAGAGGAGTTTTTCCTAATGTCCAGCCTAAACCTCCATTGCTTCAATTTAAGCCCACTGCTTCTTGTCCTATCTTCGGAGGTTAATGAGAACAATTATTCTCCCTCCTCCTTGTAACAACCTTTTATGTACTTGAAAACTGCTATCATGTCCTCCCTCAGTCTTCTCTTCTCCAGATTAAACAAACCCAGTTTTTTCAATCTTCCCTCAGAAGTCATGTTTTCTAGACTTTTAATCATTTTTGTTTTTCTCCTCTGGACTTTCTCCAATTTGTCCACATCTTTCCTGAAATGTGGCACCCAGAATTGGACACAGAACTCCAGCTGAGGATGTATCAGCTCAGAGGAGAGCTGAAGAATTACTTCTCATGTCTTGTTTACAACACTCCTGCTAATACATCCCAGAATGATCTTTGCTTTTTTTGCAACAGTGTTACACTGTTGACTCATATTTAGCTTGTGATCCACTATGACCCCCAGACCCCTTTCCACAGTACTCCTTCCTAGGAGTCATTTCCCATTTTGTATGTGTGCAACTGATTGTTCCTTCTTAAGTAGAGTACTTTGAATCATAGAATATCAGGGTTGGAAGGGACCTCAGGAGGTCATCTAGTCCAACCCCCTGCTCAAAGCAGGACCAATCCCCAACTAAATTATCCCAGCCAGGATGTCCTTATTGAATTTCATCCTATTTACTTCAGACCATTTCTCCAGTTTGTCCAGCTCATTCTGAATTTTAATCCTATCTTCCCTTCCCCACACACCTAGCACCTTTACGAGCAGGAGGAAAGGCTCTTCCTCTCACTTCCTCTTCCTCCTGTGCTCTTCCTTCCTGTGCCTATTTGTGGGCTTGGGCTAGTGGCTTAATTAGCCTTTCTGCCCTGCCCCACCCACTAATTAAGCACAGGTCTGCCTTGTCAGCTCCAATCTGCTATGCCTGATTGCAGCTGCTGTGAACTGAGTGTTTACTCATGGGTTCCTACCTAGCACTCTGTCAAACAAGGCAATAAAAATGTATCCCCCGACATTCTTTGGAGAGATCTGCCTCAAAATCCTTACCTAACAGTGAAGGGAGAGGGGAGTTCCAGTTCACTCTGTTCATAGATCTTTAGCCTTGGGCCTAAATCTAGAGCCTTATAAACTCTAGATTGCTCCTGTGAGACTATGTCCTCCTTGTCCTCAGTGATTTTTATAAAAATGATACATGTTCCCAAAATGAGTCACTTATTAAAGAAGATTGTCTGAAATTTTGAAGATCCTTCTATTAACCTCTGTCATTTTTGTGATAAAATAAAATGAAAAAAGCATAACGAATCTGGGTTACAAATTCCATATTTTCAAATTTAGTCTACACATTTAATAATTGGCATAGGTAGAAAAAGGAACAGTACTTTTTCCAGTCATGAAAGCTGTGAAGAACTCATCCCAGGTCTCATAAGACGGAAGTGGAGACATGACATTGGTAAAATGGTAAAAAGATTTTGAACAAGCACCAGTATCTAGAAAATTAATATATATTTCTGGAGCTAGACCTAGCAAAACGGCAGTATCAGAAAAATAATACTATTTAATTATAATATTGATAATTTCTTGGACCTCATATATTAGGCACATAAGTAACAATTTAATCCTAGATGCAAAGGATGCAATTCTTTCATTATTCCTCCTCATTAGATTTTGAAGATTACTGGCTAAATTCACTTGTGTGCTTGTCCTGAACTTTTTGGAGTCTCAAGTAATTAAAGATTAATCTTCTATTAAAGATTGTGTCATGTGATAAAACCTCCAGGAATATGTCCAAACAAAACTGGCAACCCTAACGAGGCTTTCGACAGACCCCCTCTGATTGAGACAAGATAAACCAATTAATAACAATTTAATACACTTATCAAATTAAAGATTTAAAAGGACACATACAAATAATGAATGCAAGCAGAAAAACAGAAACAGAAAAGCTGCTTGGATAACAGTTATCCTGGAGGGAATCAGCCTCTTCCACCAGAAGATAGCCAGATTCAAGTCACTGTTAATGGCAAAAAAATCTATTTGATGGAATTTCTATCGCTTTCGGACACCTGGATCATCTGGACACTCTAAGCCTAATTCTGCACGGACTTACATCAAATTCAACCCCCATGAACTTCATGGGATTTCTCAGTGCAGAATTGGCTCGCCGATTAAATTGTTTTTGATAGAATGGTTAAATAACTGATGGTGCTTCTGCCTGATACCGCCTCAGAATAGCGTAGATGATAATGAAGTCTAGGGCTCCTTTCTAAGGCAGTGTCATACAATGGGCATATGCATACTTAAAAGATCTATTAAGCATGGTGAGGTATCACATTTAAAGCACACATCTGTCATAAATTACTGGTATTAAGGACTAGAACATAATGATTTACACTTGGATACACAGAAGTTTAGATGATTTTTCCAGTGTACAAAAACAAGTGAACAGATCATACTAAGGGAAACAGATGCATTAGGTTTTGCTCTTTAGGCCTTGCAATACAATCCATATTTCATCTTTTCTCCCAGTTTAGTTCCTGCTAAACACTCTTCAAATTTTCTGTCCATTTCTTTATTCTGAGCTTCAGAGAAATGGTCCTTCCAATCACCAATAATTCCTGCAAACATTAAATATATATATATATATATATATATATATATATATATATATATATATATA